GATTCTGTGATTCTGTGTGATTCTGTAATTTCTACACCTAAAACAGATCTAGATGGACTTTCCAACTCTTCAAGAAAAAAAAATCTACCTTTAAAAAGAAAAACTATTTTTATAAATGTGTTCTGCTAAAAATATTCCAGCTAGCAGAATATTCCCTCATTGCTATGGAAGCTACAATGCTGTATCCTTCAACACATCTTAACTAAATGACAGCTATGATTAATTACGGCAAAACTGGTCACCTGCAGCACAATTAAAATGAAATGTTCTGATGCAAGAGTCATGCTATTCCTGTTCTCCTGAGCTCCACTGCAAATACAGGCTGACAGGTTAATAAAAGCATTTCTAAACAATTGTAAGAAATAAGCCATCTGATTCAAGAATTCTGTTCCTTAGTTAACTTATTACCCAGCTACTGAAAACTTCATTTTCCCATTTGTGAGATGACAAAATCTAATGAAAATAATATTAATATGTATGTTCTAAATAGAAAAGGCTTTCAAAGCACATTCATAAAGTAGAAAATAAAAGCACAAGTTTATCCAAAACTTTCTGGCATTTTGCAGTTAAAATTTTTCAGCCTTGCTGCCAGGATTTGTTGGCTTAAGAGCAAGAGGTTATACTTTAGAAAAGTTATTAATATGGGTGTATAGTGATTTAACTTTTATATCATTTGAATGGTAAATCGCTATTATATGGGTCAGTTAATTTTAAATGCAGTTCATACTGTTAAGAATATGTATTCCAACAGTGCCTAGAGGTAGGAAAAAAATAGACATTATTGGGGCTATTTTAAATGTTTCATGATAGCAGCGTTTACATCCTATATAAAGATCATTCAGTAAAATGTGTGTGCATGGCTACACATAGCAGAACTACCAGTAAAAATTATATTGATATGAAAATACCGTGGGATTAACAGTAAACTTTTTTTCTTTCTTATACAGGGTCTCATTTTTAATTAATCACGTTGTTGCATTCTTATAAAATGTGTAAAATCCAGTATCTTGTTAAGAATATAAACTTGGCAATCATTACAAGTAGCTGATGGGAAATCAAACATTTTTTGTTTGAAACAATTTTTTAAGTCCTTATGCATGGAATACTTTTCTTGTATTGCAGCATGTCAATACTTCCCACTTTTCTGATCAGATACATGCTTAAAAGTGGTTATATCAACACGTCCAAGTGCTAAATTACATGGTCTAATGGTCTGCATTTACCCAGCGAGAGAACACAAAGAGCAGCCACTTCTACAGGCTTTTTTTCTCACATTCTCGTAACAGCAACTGTCAGCACCAGATACATTTATATTATTACATTTGTTTGCGGTTCAAGTGAGAAAACTGATCTTTTAGGCAAGAAACATAAGCCCAGTGCAGGAACTGATTCACGTTCAGCTCTCCAGGCAGTACAAATGTAAGCAGCCTAAAATATTTGGATCTTTGAATTCAAGCATCCTTATCAAAAGTAGCAGCAGGGACTTCTGTGTGAAGACTGACACTATTTTTTCCTTTTTGCATATTCTGAAAAAACCCACCACCCCTGCACACAGTACAAGGCAGAAAAAACCCAACCCTTTTTTACAGTTTCAATGTACAGAAGTGGGTGCAGTAAGAAAATTCAGGATGGTAAGTCCTGAAAGTGATGAAATTACAGTAAGAAAGATATTTCTTTCAGAAGACTACTATAATTTAAAGCTTAATTTTGCTATTAAGTTGGAAGGAGGGAGTGATGGAGTGTGTGTCTCTCTGAGAGGAAAAGAGTGAGATTCAGCTTTGTTTTTACACTATGGGTCTCAATAGCGATGCTCTGCTACCTTACAGAGAAAATTACCTGCCATTTCTTATCTGGATTATTAAAGCTATTCTAATTTAACTTGTAGTGTATACTGTTATAGCATAAACCCAACATCAAAGATGAGGAAAGTAATTTGTGTTTATGCACATGAAAACAAAAAAATCTATGGGTGACCAGGAAACAAGGACAGGGAAAACGGTCTCTGAAATATGCATCCCCCCAGCAGTTCATTGGGCTCTCTGGACTGCAGCCGCTGCTTTTGGGGAAAAGGGAACATGGAATGCACTACAGCAAATTCACTCCCAAAGTGGTGTATGTTGTTTAAATGAGGCTCTCATTTGTTAACTGCTGTGACTTGGCACCATCATGTGGCCGCTTTGAGTTTGCTCAATTTAAGTAACAATTTACATAGAAAAGTGTTTGCAATGAATTAATTAGAATTTACAAATTATTTCAGTCTATTTTAGAAGGAGACAGTACATATCTTAAATATATGTTCACTAAATTCTGAATACATTGTCTTCCAATTGTCCTTTTCTCCCTGAATCTGTACTCATTTAATCATGCTTTTCCTCATCCTTAAATCAGAATTTATCAGGCCACAAAAGTTAAGGCTACCAAATTTCAATGCTTGGTTGCGGACCAAACTTTACCAATAGCATACAAAAATTAGTATCATATTACAGACCACTACCCGCTTTCTCAATACAAGAGCTTTGGAAATTATTTCCAGGGTTAAACCAGTCGGTATTTTCTGTTTTACATCAGAAGTTCCAAAGGATTTCAGTAAATTTCACCAGTTTATTGTTTACATAGTTTGATCCAAACAGGTTGCGTATGTATCAGGACACCTTGAGTTAGTCACGTATTCCTTTTGCAAAGTTTCAGGGTCAAAATCAGAAGTAAGATATCATGCTATGTAATTTGTATTCTGATATGTTTGCATAATGTTTTTAGGTAGCCGTAAGAAAGTTTTACCAGGTGTTAAAGTGTAAAAGGCCTAGAGGCAGAAGTCTGCATACGTTCAGGTTGCTTATGCAGAGGCACAACTTGATGCTCACCAGACACAGGATTGCTATCATTTACTTCAGAGTGAAATAATGAGAAATAACAGTGTAGTTTATAGGAACGTATTTTCAGTATTTTTTGAAAATATATACATCTGTAGTACTCGCAGTAATGAAATACAGTTCATCTTCTTTTGGAGCACAATAACGCTAAATTTGGTTCTGCCATTTTTGCAATAAAATATATGGTCTCAGCTGAAATACTCTACTGGTAATCTTTAACATATATACAAGTTATACACAAAATTACAGTACAAATCTTTCAATTACAGTAAAAAATAATCTAAATATTTTGCAATAATTTGTACACTCAGACAAATGTACTGTTTCTAAAAAGACTGCAATAAAAGCAAACGTAGTTTTTCCGATTCCTCAGGCTGAGGTAATGCCCACTTCTTCTTTACGTACTGAATGTCCACCTGTCCAGAACTTTTGCCCAGCACAATGCCTAACAGTCCGTTTGTTTTTTCCGGTTCTCCCAGTAGAGCCATAGTTACAACACTGCAATCAAAAGAATGGAAGAGTATTTTTAATAGAGTCAAAATTAACAGAAGTTGGTGTTTTCAAATGCGGTTTTAGCAGGTTACTTATAGTTGACTAAATTATTCCTTTTTTCTGCATATCACAGTGTATATTCCTTGGTATTTCAAATCACAGCACGTTATTTAGCTTTTCATCAGTTGCAATCATTTACTGTAAATATAACAGGCAATTCCTCCCCTGTGCACAGATTCCATCATCAATTTCTAATCAGGACTTAAAAATTATTTCAAGCTTGTAAAAATGAACTGTCTTTATTTTATGGTATGTTCCAGTAGAGTGTAGTACCTTTAAAAATCGTATTATTTTCTCCCCAGAACTAGCACTTTACTATAACTTGCAAGGCTACAAGAAAAACTTTTATTTTATTATTAGTCATATTCACCATGACTAACTTAAGCCTAGTGAAGACAGAATCTCTCAGTAGGGAGGAAAGAGAATCCTCGAGAAATACTCAGAAATACTAAATTAAACTCCTATTCTGCATCAATCTACAGCACACTCAGGTGTCTACCTTGACTACAGGAACAGGATTGTGAGACTGCCCTGATGCTACCCTTGGTGAATACATGCTAGCCAAAAATATTCTTGTTTACTTTGTGACAATGAACCCAATATATTTCTTTATATCGGTAACCATACTATATATAGGCATTTTAAAATGTTGTTCAACATATCTTGCCTATTTTAGGGGTTGAGCCTGATCCAGCAAAGCTAACTTTGAACTTAAGCAGTCCAGCGATTTTAGTGGGAACAAAATTTTTTACTTCATATAAACAGCAACTGCTCCACATACAGACATCTGACTCAACTGATAACACTATACCTGATTTTGATTTATACTAACATTAGCTCTCTTTTATCAGACTATATAAAATAATACGGATAAACTAAAACTTAGCTCACCTAGTCTCTTTGCACATCTCCAACAGTGTAAAAAATACCGTTAGAAAAGCAAATTCTAATTAGCTTTTCATATCAAGCAAAAAACCCCATCCAAACTCTAATCAAAACGTAGATTATAATATTAATATTTTGTTTAAAATAGAATAATGTAATGCACTTACTCCTCTGATGGAACTGTCTGTTTTGCGACAGGCAGCAAATCATTTTCCAGAAGATCCCAAATGTAAATATTAGAAGATGCATCCAGGACAAAAAACACGGAGGGTCTTGTTAAAGCCCACTGCAAGGCAATAATTGGCTGACCATTTGTGCTGTCATTCCACTGTATGAGGGGATGCTCTGATGTCATTTGGTGTAATCGAATACTTCCATCTGAACAGCCAACCTAGATCATAGGTAAAAAGAAAATACTTCCTGGGAACAGGATTAAAACTGCAATTCAGTATTCGGTATATAAATAAAATTAGTTATGACTCAAGTGCACATATCTCTTATATAAATCTCACACTGTGGACTAAGTTAGATTCAACTTCCACCAAATAAACTTTCACAAGGAGGACAAATAAGAACAGTGTGTGTGTGTCAACAGGAACTGTGAGGGCAGATTTGAATGCACCTGAGCACAGGGTTCACTGCAAGGCACAGCCCAGGGTATGCTTGATGTGGAAAGAAAAGGAAGGCAGGGAATGCCCAGAGCTGCCCCACAGACCTTTACAGCACAGCAATACTGATACTTTGTCTCCAAAATGATTATGTCACTAAAAGATGTATGGTAAGAGTAGAAACAGCTGAGGCTTCACTAATGGCAGAAGACCTGCTTGCAACGCTGAATTTCAGTCAAAACAAAGAGTAAGTTGTAAGGCTGAAGTGAGACTGCTCTTTGTTTCTGTGAGCCAGACACTCTACCTTTTACCTAAGCTAAATTCAAACACCAGGACACAAGATTTGTTGTTACCCTACAGTGCAGATAGGAATTAGTGATAAATCAGCTATCACATCTTGTAAAATAGACTAATTTTTCAAATTAGAAATCCTCCCTCAGCAAGTAATTATAAAAATGAAACTTGTATTATATTAAAATGTTTTCATACCAAAAACAGTGGCTTTCCAAAAGGGAAGAAATCAATTGCATTGATGCTTATTGATCTTAGTCCGTCCCCCCGGGGTCTGAATAGCTTTGGAAGAACTTTTAAATCATGTCTTGTACCGTGACCTACCAGCCCCTACAAACAAAATATAAAGAAAATTAAATTTTAAAATAAATAAATACACCTCCAAGATTTGCATTATCAGTTTTACAAGAAAAAGTGAAATAATTCAAAGAGCTGGTACCTTAAAAGATCCTTAATAGCTAACGGATCTTAATAATAGTCTCAAATTGTAAATCTTATATATAGTCTACTGGTAAAATTCCAAGTACATGGGGCAGTTTCCAAAACAAAAAATAAGATGAATTTCAGCACATTACTCACAATGTTCGTTCCAACAATGAAATGATTGGGATTAGAAGACAGAAATTTAATACTCAGTGTCTGGGGCATTCTCTGTTGTACATCCTTTGGGAAAAGGCTAGGAAAAAAGGTAAAGGATGACATAAACACAGGAAGCTGTCTCCTAAAGCTATGCAAGTACATACACAAACTCTTGATCTAAAATGTCTATGACTAGCTCCAGGAAAAAGCGTATATTAAAAAAACCCAAACAACTAATGAAAATACTGTTAAATGTATCTTATATAACAGCAAATTAATAAAGTATCAGAAAAAATAGCTTTGTGAGATACATGTGTAAGATCTAAATGTCCCTGTTATTCAATTACCTGTTACTCAATTCCATAGTAGAGCTATGTACTAACTTCACCTTTCCTCCAGGAATTAAACCTAAAATGATATAAAATAATCATTTAAACTGATTAAAGCACTTTGCACTAAGAAACTGCTATCATCAAATGAAAAACTAAGCTAAAAAGTAAAAGTACATTTCATAATTAAATTGTTTATTGTAGCTATAGCTTCTGATATGTAAGAATCTTAAATAATTTAGAACTATTTACTTCAGAATTCAAAAACGGAAGAGTTGTAATCTTTGACAGAAATCAAAGAAAGAGAACAGAGAAAGGGAAACATGATTATGTGTTTGGTTTCATTTTACAGTATGTATATAACATGTAACTGCAATACCACTCTATAAAATCCAATTTTATCAATGGTGAAAATGCTCACTTATGTAACTTGGATCTTTGACAATGAATTACAGTAATGGGAGACTATAATATAGCTTCCATAAAGTTGGTCTATGCAAGCTGTTAGTAAAGAACAACATAAATAATTCAAATCCTTCAAACACAAGTGTTTTAAGAGGAAAAAAATGAATGCAGGTGGCAGCAAAACGGTGTAAACACATGACCACAGCTTTAAAGTGTACACCTCCACAGACATAATACCCAGTTTTAGCAGCTTAACATAGCCAGACATTGCACATGAGCTTATAAATTGGAAAACTGATCAAAAATTCTAGTTTGTTAGCATTACTTCATTGTTTATGTATGTATTTTAAAATGCACCAGGAATTTAATCACAGCCTTTTCCAGTTAGGTAAGTATCTAAGTCTGAATCTGTTCAAAGAACAAAAATTGCAATTTACTTAATTCACATAACTCAAAAAGTGCCAAGGTCTTTATCTTTTTCATGGAAACTTTTTCCTCACACTAAATTAAGTACCTTACCCATAGAGAACTTTCTGGACAACTAGCAAAATGGAGATACAGGCAACAACAAAAACGATATAAGAGATTTGGCTAAAACTAAAGTAAGAACAGGAGAACTGAGAAGAATACCTCATAAAATCTCATACTCTTTGAAAAAAAAAAAAGATGTTGAGGACACAGAGATCTGCTTGGACATTATAAAAAATGTGGTTGTCTGGTGGCAATTACCAATGTAAAATTAGCAGATGAGATTCAGATAGCAGTGAAAATAATTCTCATGATACCTAACCAACAACCCCAAATATCAGGTTTATGTCCTACTCAGAATAAATCTTTCCCTCAGTAATTTTTCCTTCTTCTAAACTGTTTTGTCATCACTGACTCTTCCTCACTCTTCTAATTTCATAATCTCAAAACTCAACCACTTCATTCTATCTCTAATGTACAGTACTCACCTAAATCAGTTTGTGAACCAGCTAAATCCACTTTTTGTAGTTCAGCAACTACCTGAAAAGTCAATATTTAACATTAATAAGCAATAAATATTTTACCAGATTTTAAGTTTTTTAACTAGTTGTAATAATGTATGACACTTAGATAGGTAGCTCTAACATTACAGTGATTACAGGCAGATTCTCTATCCCGTCAATGCTAAAAACAGCTTCAAGGGCCTGCTGGATGTCCCCTGCTGGAAAGCAGAATATGGGAAGTCACACTCTACACTTAATCACTAGTTGGCATCTTGTTGTTTGGTCGGTTACAAATAAACCCACCCTAAACACCTAAACAAGGAGTTGTAACATATTTCCTGTGCTTTTCACTATTCAAAAAATAGAAAGGGTAGATCATTTGGCCTGAATCCATTGCTACTCAAGTTACTTAGAGCTTTAAGGGACTTAACTAGGGATACAGAATGGAAGTACTTTTATCCCCTTATTATTCATTGAGTCATTCAGTTCCTAAAGCAAGATCAATTCAGATGCAAACAACAGGTTACCATAGCCGTATCAGAAAAAGACTGAAAACATCCGATAGAAATAAGAGCTGTCAGAAAAGTAACTAAGAGGAAGAGATCTGCTGCTTACCCGCCCGTTATATTTTAGGCAGGGTAGTCTTATTCACAGATTTTCATATTTTGCCTCTTGAACATTTAATCTGAATTTATATTATGAATGTTATTTCTCATAGACCTTCAGTCTCTGATACCACTGTGATTCAAATAAAATAAAGCAGGTGGGTCAAAGAGGACTGAGGTCTACTACACAATAGAAATATGTGAACATGTTCCTTTGAAACAGAACTACTGCTTGCCTGTTTTCATGAATGCATGTACCTGTTAATAGTTTTGCCAAAGGATAACATCATGGCATTAGGGAGCCAGGTCAAAAATAATTTTGAGAAAAATTCCAACAGAATGTCTAGTGTTGCTGTACTTTTCAGGGAGGAAATTCTTATCAGAAACCCTGGATTTGGGTTGATATATCTGAAGAAGTATTTTATTATTTCAACATGTAACTCTCTTTTCATACATACAGTACTCACCCACATATTGAGGATTCCATTCTCATCCATTGAAGCTATCTGAAATGGAGGGCCTGACATTTCTACGGAAGGAATAACAACAACTTATATTTACACACTTACCCTCATCCTGAACAATATCAAAGGATTTGAAACATTTCCTAGGTTAATACATTCTCTGAAACTTTTATAATCCTCTCAGCTGCATAAAAAGGGAGAGTGCCCAGATTCTACCATAGAAGAAAAAGGCATGAAACTAGTATGTTCAGCTTCTCCTGCAGACAGGCAGATGTTCTCTGTCTGCATCTTTTAAATGTCTGGATTCTGCATGAACTTTGGAACAGAACATAAAGTTCAACAGATGAAATCTTGTAAAACATGCAATATGCAGCACATTTCTTTGGACTACTATGGATTTCAAAGTGAAAATCTGCAATGGAATTAATGATGTCTCCTCTAGCACACTGCCTGAGAATTTGGGTGCATGAGGATTAAAGTTTCTTTGCAAATACAGGTCATAAAAATTAGGCAAAAGGCACAGGAAGAACCAAGTACAGTCACATACTTTAAGTGCTTTTGGAGATAAGCAAGTTGCTTCACTTTTTTAGATAGGGTTTTTTTGGACATTATAGGAGCACTAAGACTTCTCTAAAGGCAGTTTTTGAGTAATCTTGTTTTACCATGGAAGAACAAAATACTGTCTTGAAGAGAGACATAATAAGCATGGACCCACATCTGATGTGAAACTGCACTGAATGAACATTACATAAAAATGAGACAGACAACTTAAGAGACAGAATGGAACTATAAACTGGATTTTAGCTATGACATATTTGTTTCACTAGATCTGCAAATAAAGACTCAGATGTACTGACACTTTGAAGAGCAGCTTACATACCCTCCTGATAAGAGAGACTTGAAAGCCCATAGTTTTGATCAGCGTAGAGAGAGGTTGAGACAGGTTCCACCGCTAGTATAGGAGAGGTGTGGTTTACTGAGTTTAGAATGCCATCTGCAATTAATGATAATGAAAGGTAAACACGGTATTATTTTCAACACAAACAACAAAACCCTAATCACTTTTCAGCTTATGGGAGAATGATGATTACAAAGAAAGAATGGCAAATAATAATTTCATAAAGAATTACCCTGTGAAACCCTCAAATACAATACTGCAAACTGTTTCCTAAATTAACAAATTACTACCAGATAAATCAATGCCTCACCATTTATACTTATTTCTCATTTTCCAAATCATTGCTATATCATTTATGCCACTGTACCAGACATACATTAAAATCTGCCATTTCAGTGTTACCATGAAAAGAATTATGTTAATTTCAAGCTTCATAAATAATAGAGGTAGTAATACATCACTGCTTATTTTGGAAAGACAAAACTGAAGAAAAATTATCCTTACAGAGTGTTATTTAATAGAAAACAAGCTGAAACAAACAATTCACCACAATAAAATATGTATTTACCCTTTAATAACATTTTAAAATAAATGCACATTTAAAGTAATTTCAATACGCATTGTCAGATGCTCTTGATTTCTGGACTTGCTCTGTGCACTGAACATAATATCATTTAAGACTAAAGGCATAAAGCTTCCTAAGTATACAGCATTCAAAAATGGTTTGCTTACATAAGCAACTACATGAAACTATATACATACATTTGACTCCTAGCCTGTTGTGTAACGCAAGACCAAGCATCTCTGGTCTAAGAAAACCCAAAAAACCTATTAACAACCAACTAATTTTTACTTTAACATGGCTACTGCAATTATATACACTCGTGAAAAAAAGAGGATTTTGTACATGTGTGGTGGTTTTTTTAGAAAAATAAAAGTACTTGACTGTAATTTAAATGGTAGCACCTCTACACACAAAAAGAAAGAAATATTGAAGGACTTATTTTGCAATAATAAGATTATTATAAGAATATTGCTATGTATTATTTTTCACTCTAAGGTACAATACAGTGCCAAGAAAAATGGCACCAATTCATAATTAAGATTGAGGTGAATCAAAGGTCAAACTGCTGGTATGTACACCTACACCTCATTCCCCATCTCTCACCATAGAGCTACATACATCGAAAACTTCAACAAGATCAATGACTTGCTCCTCTATTTACATTTGCAATGACAAACACTGGTAATAGGCATAAAGATCCATTCATTTTCATCAGATTCATAAAACTGTAAGTATCTCATACACCAATTCAAATGCAGAGTGAAGTATTTTAGGTTGCATCTTCTAGCATGTCAGTTATAGGTCCTAAATAAACTTCTGTAACCTTTGAATTTGTCATCTAAGGATTTACAAAATTTACAAAAGCCTATGTTATTTTGATCATACACTAAGGGATCAGAAGTGCAGAAAAAAAGAAAAATGCAATTACACGAAAATGTCAAGGGATGAAAGGAGGTCAACCACAAGTATTTTTGAAAAGTAAACTTTCTTCTGACTTACCAATATGTATGCAACACTAATTCAGGCCATATCTAAACAATGCAACAAATTAATTTCATGTTATTTTTTGCAGCTGTGCATCTCTACCATTAAGAACCTGGAAAGTGCATGCTACAGCTCCCAGCTGGCCCCAGTGCTAGAGATTTTGCTTATGTGACAAGCTGGATGACAGAAAAATGTATGTCCAGGTTTTGCTACAACATGCAACTGAATCTTTTCTACAGATATCAAACCAGAGAGCACTTGGGCCCCAAAGTTTAATCACAGCTTCAGAATCCCTTCAACAAAAAACTAAAAGTAACTGACTGCTGACTATGGAAGTTAGAATTCAACTTACTCCATTATATAGATCACCTGTGACATTTAACCTTCATACTCTACTTGTTTCCAATTACGTGATCCCCCTATATGCTGGACCAATAGTATCATAAAAAGAAAGTTGTATATGTAATGAAAATATGATAAATTCCTAGTTCTTACAACAATTATTTAACTGGCAATAAAAAAACCCAATCCTAACTCAACCTTTAGTGTATCTAGACTGAATCCAGAAGTGATACAATTACATAAGTGGAATTTTAGAAAGGCGTAAGGGTGAGATTCAGACCAAAGATTTAAGACACTTGAAGTGATATCTACATATAAGACAGCTGTATAAGATCCATAATTAACTAAATCTAATCAGTACAATCAATCCAGCCAAGCATACACAGATATCTACGTTAGAATGAGATTAAGAGCTCTCAAGATCCCACGGAGTAGCACTACACTGATTCTAACAGAGGTTATGTATGTATACACTTGGATACATATCTTGCATGCAGCTTCATAGAAACATCAAGACTTAGGTGATACTTGTACAGATGGCGACCTTTAAATGACATTTGAAAAACTGTGGTTTGCAGTCTTAAATTACTTTGATTTTTTTTAAAATACATCTTAATATGTGTGTTTAGAGGAAGATAAAGAAATGTAGGTTGTATTAAGGGAGATAACATGATGAAAATTGACTAAGTATTTCAAATGAGGTAGTAGTTGAGCAGTCTATTTTATTATTACAGTGTTCCCTAGGTTCTACACCTGGACTACTTCTCCATTCTCACTGCTTGATGCATATTGAGCTGGCTTACATTTCTTCACAGTATTACTGTTTGGCTAAAGTAGGCTACTGAGAAACAGTGTTAGAAGAATTAGTAGAGAGATTGTTTCACTGCCCACAAAATGACTAATCAGAATGCACAGGTACTAACCAGTGGAAAACGTCGGAACTCTGAATGTCCAGTCAGTGTCACTGATCACCATCTGAGGGTGCATTCTTGAGTCCTCTCGAAGATCCCATACCAACAGTGAACCATCTGTTGTTCCAGCAAAAACTAAGGTTGTTTTATTGGGACTAAAGCAGCAACATATCACCTGTAAAGTAGTAAAAATATGCATGGTTGATATTATGGTAAAGGCAAATTATTTGATAAGCTTGAAATATTTTTTTTCTTCCTAGCCATGCAAATCCAGAAAAGACAGATTATGGGTGTTTGCAGCACAAGGACAATTTATTTAAAAGGAAAGTAGGATACAAGACTTTCAGCAGGCTTTCCCTTTTCAAGACAATTGTGTAATCTGCATCTACTGCCACAAAGGGGAAGAGGATGATTCAACAGTATCATAGTGATGGGTAGAGAGAAGTCCTGACAACAACTGAAACAGCTGTTTCACTTCTGTCACTCTTCAACTCTGAAATGGAGTAAAAATTTAAAAACCAAAACAAAACAATAAAAACCCACAGAGACCATCACTACATTCTAGTACTGGAGTACAAAATGGAATGAGAATAGTGTTTCGCTTACAAGGCTCAAACATGTTTCTCAAAAGATGACATACCTTGCAGCAATACAAGAAAACAAAATACACTTAATAAAGTCTTTTATTCACTGGGCAAATATACAATGTTATTAAAACATACCTCTGAGTCACATATTAAAACTTTCTGAGGGCTGGAGGGCTGCCAGATGTTCCAAACACATATGATGCTCTTTCTGTTCAGTAAACCAACACCTTCCTTTTCAGGTAATCCATGAACAGAAAGTAGCGTCTGCCTCTGAACTTGAGACACACACAGGCAGGATATTTTCCGGTCTAAACCATTTTAAAAAATCAAGAAAGAAAAGCAATAAATTAAAAAGTAAACCTACTGCAGATGAAAAAGCGTATTTAGCTGCTATAGCAACAACCAAAGAAGCTAAGATATAATTATAAAGAATATTTCTATTAACGGTGGGTTGCTTTTGATGTTATAAAAGAAAAAAGGAGGGACTAGAGAAAGAATCAAAAAAACTAGAAGCAGAAAGAAAAAAGGAAGAGAGCCAAGAAGTTAATAAAGTAATTATTCTGGGCATAAGCAAGCCAATCTGATCTGATGTCAATACATATACTGAACATTAAGCTAAGTCTCAAACAGGAAACAGCACAGGCCAGGCTTTTTCTGGTTCATCTCATGTGTTCATGTTAGAATATGTATGGTTTTGTGTTATAACAGGACTTCCTAACATAATTACAGATGCTTTATTTTTCATTTTTCTTTTCACCTGAACATCTACTGTTCATACAGGAAAGATATAACCGCAGTTCAAGTATATCAGGCTGTTCAATAAACTTGCTTTATTTGCAACTTGGCCCTACTGTCAGCGTAAAGAGTCTAAACGAAATGACACCCCTTGGGATGGCCCTTCAACAACAGGGGCAAGAAATGACATCCAGGGCACTTCTATACCATGCTAATCCGCTGGCTGTATTTCTGGTTTCACAGCAGCTAGGATGCTCTGATGTTTCCTATGTGAAACCAGTTTGCATGGAGTTACACCGAGATTAGCACAATTGAAAGAAAAGTGGGCTTTACATCATCTATATAACCCGGTATGTGCTGTTTGCACTTCAGTCATGACAAAGAGCGTACGTAGTATTTTGCATAAGGAAGAAGAGTTCACACTGTATACTAAAAGGTGTAGAATAAAGTTCCCTTACCATGGAGGAATGGCTGGTTAGTATTTAACTGGAAACAGCTATCACTAATAGACAGACCGGTTTGTTGAGATCTTAGTTTCCATTTGGGTTGTGTTGCAACTTGATCCTCCTCTAGCAAAACAGCAATCACCTTTCAAACATAATTACATTTATAGAAATAAAAGGGTCGTCTTATCTTTCAGCTTTGCTATTTGTAGCTTCCTAAAGTATGCGGATTAATTTAATAAACCTTTATCAACTATCTTGTAAATTTTATATCTTTGCAAATACAGCTTTACAGACATGAAAGTTGCACAGTTCTGGTTCCATTTCTTTGTAGAGTGATGAATCTCACTGATAACGAGTATTATTTAAGTAATTTATTTAAATTAGTCAGAACAAGTACTGTAAGGGATCTATCACACCATATACTTATGCACACAACTCATAAGGGATATTAAGTACATAATAACATAATTAAGTACCTGGCAAGCAGACCGGAGGAAATTTGCCAGTCTTTGCGAATCAATTTTAGGTGCTAGAGCTCCATTCACTGACACATCCTGGCTGTTTACGGGACCTAAGAAAAAAAACAAAAAACAAAACCAAACTTAGAGCTTCAAAAGGGAACCAAATAAGAAAACCGTAAGAACAATGTGATTTTTAAGCAAAAGAAGAGTGCCAAGAATCAACTTCTCTTCCACAGAAATAAATACTGAAGAACAAGATCTGTTTGGGTATTATATCTGCTACCAACAAAAACAGCAATCCATGAGGAAGAAACTGTTCCTGCCACTTATTCTCCATCCCATCCACAAGGGGATTCAGTGTGCTATCAATGCAGCCTGCCACATTACAAATTCTGACAATTAATGGGTAGAAGAGAATGTTTATTTGCATACATCTATAATGAAATAAGATTAAAATATCCTTCACCTCCAGATACAAGGGCACTTTCTGCTGGATGCTGTGTCCATTTCTCCAATGTCTCAACTTCCTCAGTCTGAATGTCTCTCTCAAGATTGTCTTCATTACACTGAACATATGCCTAAAGTAGAAAGATAAAGTGATCAATATATGGGTGACAAAGCTAAGAATTACAGCATATCACTGAACAGAACTTAAACAGTACTATTTTGTGCATGCCCATTTTACCGCATTTCACACAAGAGTCCTAGACCTATTGCAAAAATACAGAACTTCTTACATCACATGTAAACAGTAAACCCAGCATACTTGGGTGAGCCACAGATATATAGAAAGTCCTTTAGAAAATGGGAAAGGAACACAAGAGAGTCAGCTTCTAACACAGAAATGGAAATGGCCTATTTGGCCAAAATGTTTTGATATCATTGCTTTATGGCAAGATGAAAGCTTTAAGGCTTAGAGATGAAAATTATTAATATATTACTTTACTGTCCTATTAGCTTTCTAATTTTCTCTTGTAATAAAAATTATTTTCCAGAACAAGAACCAGCACTTTCAGGACTTAAATTTTACTACGTATTTGTTACCCACCTGCTTAGTGTTCATTTTACCAAAATTCCTGATATACATGTCGTACTCATTTACAGGAGGCAAATCCAATAAAGAAAAACTAACTGAGAAGTCCAGATCAATTAGTGGGAGAAGTTCTGAACTCCGTTTTCTTTAGAATGAATTACAAGAGAGAAAGAAAAAAATGATTAAGACCAAGTATTGGGTATTCCAAAAGTAAAATAATGAAAAGACAGTCAATCTTTGTCACAATTATCATAAAACTGTTAAGATATTAACAAGTTAACTGTTTGAATTACAAACAGATTACAAACAGTTCACAAGTTAATTCCATGCTTTGCTATAGTACAGATACCCTGACAGTGAGAAAATTGTTCTCTTTCTCTTTCTTCCACTTTCAGATGTTTTTAACATACTTAATATAAGGACAACCCAGATACAATTATGGGTCTGTAGCAATTTCATATTTAAACACTTTTTCAGACGCATATTTCAGTTGCGGTTTCTTCCCACTATGATAGTCTTTGAAAAGGGAAAAGACTAGAGCAACATGAGCTGGAATTTCTCCTCTAATATTTCAGGCTGGAGTTTTCTTCATGAACAAGGACAATTTTCAGAATTCCAAAGTGCCACAGCTCATGTATGAGATGCTTTCAGTCCGTTTACTGGTAGTGATGTATTATCACAGCAACATATTCCACAAACCCTTTCTCTTTCCATGGAAATGCTAGCTATCTTCACAGGCTATACACATTGTTACCACGTACACAAAGGTATATACATAGTCATAATCAGTCATAGTACATAATCAGTAGAAGCTGACAAACATTTCAGAAGGCAATTTGTCAGAGGGATGCCTTTCTGAATTTCCCAATCTGTCTCCACCGTTTAGAGGGGAGGCCCAGACAATGGACACATGTAAAATTTGAGTATATAAATTTAGGCAAGGTGAATTAGACAGCCTAGACAATAAAATCTCCCTTATGTGAAGATCAGCCACTGATGTGCAGCCACGAAGCAGTGGAATCTAGTATTATCAAGAAAAGTTAACATTTTTGCTTTATGCATCCAATTGAAGTAATATATTGGAGGTATATACAGTGGGTCAGAGAAATCTGGAGCTCCTGGCAAGTTCCACAAGAAATAGGCATTATTTTTTTTCTTTAATACAGAGCTGTCTTAGATGTCTTAAATCTAGATTAATTTTAAATTAGTAACAACACATTTTTACACCAACTGGTGTTACCCCTGGAAAGGAATATGCTATTTTGGCAACAGTATGTACCATATAGAGTCTTAATTATTTCAAGAAATTACAGTTCTGCAGGGCCCTGAGAGCAGCTAAAAGACTTGCTCTTTAGTACTATAAGTCAATATCTAATTAAGTGATTGAAAAAGCATACAAAGACACTACAATCCTGGCAAATCATTCTGTAATAAAATGATACATATCAACTGACCTATAGATAAATTTCTGTTATAAAACAACATGTATCAAAGACTGTATATTTATATTACTTATATTTACTTAAGAACTAATTACTGTTAGCTTACAAAATAATATTTGACTCTAAAAGCCTCAAGTTTATAAACTTCACATATTTCAAATACAATGAAAAGATATCTCACACAGTGAGTAGCCATTTTGTGTGGATTATTTAAAATACACTTACTTCTGCTTACTAGCCATACTTCGGCTACTTTGTCGTTGGTTTGCCATTTGAAAATCCATGAATATTCCACGAAAAGAGTTTCTGACAGAATGGTGTTGCCTTTCTGTGATATTATAAAACATTTTTAGTGTTATAATTCACACTTTACAATGCTTTGGAATGTAAACCAGTAAGTCTAAAAAGCAACAGATTTATTAAGACATTGCTGCTAAAAGTTACTAGCTTGCGTATTACACAACGTGTTCTAGCACATTTATCAGTACAATAAGCTTCTTAACTTCAGTACTGGGTCAGCATTTTTCCCTTAGTATGGTCCTTCAGCAATCAATTCAAAATGACTGACCACTGCAATTTCTATTTTAGAAGACTGTGATGCAGAAAGAGTCTCCTCCTTTCCCCTGCCATTAGCAGGTCCCTTTTCCCTGTGTACAGTAAACCCCTCTATGACCAATTCTAAAAATTGTATCAAATTAACACAGACTACACCATGTGCATGCTACACCTTCAAATCACCTAAATTCATCACTACAGCTAGTGGAGAACCTTATCAATACAATCTTAATTGATGCCTTTGGATTAATTAGCAAAAAGTTGAAAACTGTTGCTTTTAAAGCCACAGTTAATGGAACAACTACAGTATGTGTTGTCATGTCGATTTTACTCCCTTTCCTGGCTAGGTGGTAGCTAATTGATCTTAATATCCAACTTCCAGTCAGGACCAACAGTGTTTCACTTCCTCACAGGAAGACTGCCTTTTTAGATAATACTGGTAAAATGCTTCTAAAAATCACTACCAGAATGATCAACAACCAAATGAGATCCAAACTTCATCAAAATAGTGTTGTGTAATTTACAATAAAGCACTAAGTGCTGCAATTCAGAATTTAAAAATCTGACTCTGTATTAGAATTCCATTCTGTTCATCAGATCTATAGCATTAATGGAATTCTTTTATTGATTCCATATTGCTCATTAGAAAAATAATAATAATTCCATAAATATTCTGCAAGAAGCAATTCATATTACAGTATACTGGCTCTGACTTGCAATGACTAAATGACTACTTAACCAAAAATCTACTGATGCTGTGAACATTTACAGAAACTCCATGCTGTTCTTCTGCGACTGGACTAACTTTGTACAAACTAAATAGCTGTTTAAAATTCTTCTGCACAATGACTCTCTACTGCCATTCACACGAGTGGAGAGTGCAAAAGGGAACCACAGTTGCAGTTACAACACTCACAGGTATCAGATCAACTGAATACAAAACGATTACTCCATAGTCACATTTCAGAAAAAAAAACACCAAAACTTGCATTTTAAAAGTTATATAGAACTATATATTCAAGCAGTATCTGTACGTCTCTTGCCTCCCCACCCAGACCGGTGGCTTCAACTTTGCTTAAAAGAAAAAGGCAAATTAAAGTCACCGGAAGGCCCAATCTGTTCTAGCACTCCTCCAGTTTTCAAAATCCAGACTCTCATATCCTCCTCTAACCCAAAATAAGACATATTAAATGTCAGTCTGTAAATTCTCATACTTCACATTTAAAATGATTAGTAATGCCTCTGAATCATTCTTTAGCAACGTGAAAGTTACAGTACTTGCCCACAAACCTAAAGTGACTCATCCAGAGGACCAGATTTCTGCCTCTAGGCAGACTTTTAGAAAAAGTGACCTCTTTACTCGTAAGTTGTATGTGTTACTCATACATTTAATAAAAAAAGACTGGTATCTAGTCACATACCCATGATTGGTTCCTTTTTCTCGTTTTCAATTTTCTTTGGCAGTGAAGTACAAATTCTATCATTTTCTGCACTAATCGCTCTTTGAATTTCTTCAATTTCTGATGTTCTGAGAGATGGAATCTCTCTTAGGTTTTCTTCTGCATCTCTTTCCTCACCACTTTTGTCTTCATCATCATCAAAATCATCTTCATAATCCTTTAAAAGTAACAAGGCTTTTAATAACTGATAAACATGGATTATAGAAGTATTCTTCAAGATCTTTTAAAGAAATTATAAAGTGCTGTCAAAAATAAAATTCTCATACAGAGGGCTATAAATCCTCTGACTGAAAGGCATTTTAAAATAACTGTTTGATGGAAAGAAAATGTCATATCTTGATTGTGCAGTAATTTTAATCAAGTGAATCAAGTGAAGACAATCCCACAGTGGTTTTCTTCAGTATTCAAAATAGATTCCTTTTTTTTGTAATATCCAAAACTAGGAACTGTATGTTTAGGTGAATTATGTATTCTTTAAAAAAATAAAGACAGTGTTCAGCAACAGCAGGGTAAATGCTTCACAGATGTATAAAGCAGCTTATTTGATAGTTTTAATTCAAGCAGCCCTTCAATGGCAGGCTGAAATTTACTAAACTACCACCCTATCCGTTTGCAAGTCAATGCATAAGGCTCATATTACTGATAATTCTCTTAAGTAAGACAATTCATCTCATGCTAGAATAATCACCTAACACAAATGATATCAACAGGTCTTAAACACGCTCATTTCTCTCCACTGAATGGTAAAGGGTTACCACAGTGAACAGCTCAACAGTGGGCGCCACTCCTAACGTAAGTGGAGCTGAATTCTAGCTTCACTCAACAAAAATGCAGCTGGTCCAGCAAGCAATGAAAGCACATTCAACACATTCTTCTACCTTAATAATTTAAGAAAAGAGAGCTAAAAGGAAGAAAGTTCAATTAAGAAAATTAGTGAAGGGACTGCTGTGTGTCAATACTTTTTTCTACGATATTTTTGCAATGAAAAACGAGTGTCTTTTTTCTCCTGAAATTGATTATTTGCTCCCATTATTCAAAAAAAATCAGCATTTTTCACAGAAAATCATTGAAAGAACTGAAATCCAGGAAGACAGAAAGAGCATCTTAGGAAGACTTCAATTCAAAAGCAAAAGCTGGTTCCCAGCCCCTGATGAAAACTAAGTAAATATACAGCAGAGTTTCTACGTAACATTTTAGTTCATTATCTACTGATAGCCAAGTTAAGGTCCTTGTCAACAAAAAAGAGTAAGTAAAAACCATTAACATCCTTATTTTTTTATTTCTGTCAATAAAGTTAATTATCATTTTGATACTTAAAAAAATACTTCAAAAGGACAATTGTATGCTTTTACTTACTTCAAAATCATCTTCATAATTTTCTGAAAAGTTATCAAATCCTGTGTTTGAATTATATATGTGTGATTCTTTCATTTCCTAAATGAGAAAAATAAAAAAAACTGTTAAATAATCTTACAAAAAAAAATCCTGATGTGCAAATCCTAGCATAAAGCTGGAGGAGGAGTTGTTCTCAGATACTTCCACATTTTCAATCAAACATACAAAAAACTCAGTTTAGAAATATAAATAAAAGTGTATTGACAAATGATAATTACTGACTTAAAATAATAATACGGGAAGACAAAACAGAACTCAATCCCATCTTGGGAAGACCAGTTGTTTTCCCACCAATATTTTTACTGGGAAAGCAATAAAAACTGCTGTGTTGCACACAACACACAATAGTGTAGAGTGGCTCTTGTGATAAGTGTAACAACAATTTCATAATTCTGCAACATTCCAAAACAGAATCTGGATTTTGGGGGATGGTTACCAACAGTTGAAAAAATGACAAATTATTTTAAAACTTTTAATGGCAAAGTTAGGCTGTATGTGCACAGACTGGTCCAAATGAACCCAAGACTATACAGCTTGCACTTCAGACTTGCTGAAAACTTGGTTCTGTCTACACCTGCTCATTTAAACACATAAAAATACCTTCCTCTTTTTTGTGGCAAGTGTTTTAAGAGACATATATGAATAGCATTGCTAGCTGCATTTTACTTGGCTTGTACTACATATTATTTGCCCATGTCAGCTGTTTATAGAGAGAAAGAATAGATGATTTGCATTACATGCCTAAAACTCTTTCCACTTACCAAGAATTAATTTTTCAAGCCTAGAAGATACTGAAATACAGTTGAATAGATGGCTACCTTTAATGCTTAGCAAATTTATACAGAATATATCAATTTTCTAATGCTATATCTAGACACAGGTTAAGAGATGTCTGATTCTCTTATCTTACAATGGCATTAAATTGAAATACATACTGTAATTGCTATTAATCCCAAGAAAAACGCCATATTATAAGGCCCAAACCCAAACAGTTTTACCTTTCGTCTTGTGTCACCTTCCTCTTTTTCAATTAGATCTTCTTTATCTTTTACAGTCCTATTGAAAAACAGAACATCAATTTTATTGGTTACCTAAGAAGAAAGCACTAGTTTTGTTTTGCTTTTGTTGCCAGGGGGAGGAGGGGGCCTGGTTTGTTTCAGAAAAGAAAGGTCTTTTTTCCTGAAAAGGAAAACACAATTGAAAAGTTCCAATAAACTGAAATATTTCTAAAAACACTTTTATAAATCTCTATTTATGATATGAAATTATAATGAAACAGCCAAGTGATTAATCAGCTAAGAACTGCAAAAACCTCGTCCAAATGTAATGCCTATAATTGCATCAAAATAGAAGAAAATGTAAGGAGGGGAAAAAAGCCTATTAAACCCGAACATCTATTAGTTGTATTACTATCTGCAGCAAACTGGAGATCAAGATCAGGTTGGTGTTATGTGCTCTAAAGCTATAAATCACAGACTGACACTCAAACCCGATCTTTCATTCAGGGGCTTTATTTATGAGGACAATACAATCAGGGTCAGAGAGCAGGAGAAAGTCAACAACCAGCTCTGCTTCTTACCGATCTATTTGCTTGTTTTATAAGTATTAGACTCCAAGAGAATATGCTGACTTCTTAAGTAAGAGGGTGTTCATGTACAGTGCTGTTGGGACTGACGAATATAAGAAAAGACAATAAAAATAAAAATTTGGCTGGATCTTGTCATAAAAAATCAGAATGATTCAATATTGAATCAGGTGACTGACCCGCCTGGACGCCTTCCTGTGCAACCTCATCTAGGTGTTCCTGCTCCGGCAGGGGTATTGGACTGGATGATCTTTTGAGGTCCCTTCCAATCCCTAACGTTCTGTGATTCTGTGATTCTGTGAATATTGACAGTGCTTGACACGGAACCAGGGTTCTGGAACATCCCAACAAACTGTATCACCTTCTTTGCCATTCAGAAATAGCTGACTCCTTTTTTCCAGCTATATACAAGCAACGACTCCACCAAAATGCCCCATCAGCAACAGTTTCAAAATATAACCTGCATATTTGGCACTGCTTGACACAGTTGAGTGCTGCTGCTAGGAAGTGTCCTAATGTAGGTACTCGGAAATATTTCATTTTTTACTTTTGTACAGGAATAAACTTCTACAATGACAAATTCACTACAACCAAAGTGATCTGTCCCATGCTTAAGAAACAGCAGTAATACCTAGCCAATAGTGGTGGTGACTTCACTCTCTGACAGTGTTTCCAGAAGCCAGCAGGCCAGTCTTACTTAGCTAGGAAGCTAAACTAGTGTTTAAGAACAGGAATTGAGACTGACAACATACACAGAGTTACACTTCAAAAGTTGTATAGGAATTTCACATGGCTGAAGCATTAAAGAGTGCAAAGATAACTAGAATATGTAGATAACTTCTGTAAGATTTTATATTTGCTAGTAATAAAACTTAGAAATATCATCCTGAAATTTTATTGATCCTACTGAGGATGATCTGGACCTGTCTTTCACTCACAACAGCAAACTTTATTTATATATATGTGTGTGAGTATATATAGGTCTATATAATGTTTTAGATACCATACAGAGTAGGAACTTACAGAAATATTCCAATTAAAAGAAACAATATAAGAAGAGTCCTATATGCTTCCTCATGAACCTCACATGTGTCCGTGTGACTGCACAGTGAATTTCCAGGTGGTAAAATACAGCATTTCTGTCTCCCAAACTAAGTGCCCAGATCAAAATATAAATAGTTCACAAGGACTGCAAAATATCACTTGCTATTCTGCAGTAGAAAAATCCTGAATACAAATACATACATTTTTATATGAATCCTCTTAGAAGCAAAACACAGATTTTTTTTTCCAATTGCTATAGTATTGTACAAAGGGCCAATGAAAAAAAAATTATAGTCATCCTAGATATCTGAGATCAAGTATTCATGCTTATTGTTTTGGCAGTGACTGAATCTTAGTAGATACCATACAGTATACACTTATTTAAAATCTCTGAATTTACCTTACACGCTGATGGTTCACTTCCTCTTGAATCCTCTCCTCGTTTTTGTATTCACTGTTCTGTAAAAGAAGTCACAATATTCACGTGTCAGAAGTGGTGGGAGAAAATACATGTTTGAACCTGTATTAGTAGTAGTGACATTAAACAGTAAAAAAGGTTTCTAATTATTTCAGTGACACATCCTATCGTTTCACTGCTTTTAAGAAGTTCTGCATATGAACTAATGCCAGAATAATCTCCTCCTTACAAATATATTAAGCAAGGAAAATAAACACCCATTAAAGATATGTTATACACATAATATGATCTTCTGTTGAAAATATTAAATACTTGGGAGTGAATTTTGGCTATATTCCCTTCTGCAATGCATTTCAGAAAGGAAACAAGAAGAGATCTTGAGTCTTCTCCTTTGCTTAAAAAAATACACTTTATCATGTTTTACCAGAGTAAAGTCTGGCTTTTTTATAGGATACCTTCACATTAGTATGTTAGTAACAATGGTTAATCAGTGCTCTGGGCCCAGCATCAACCACCTAAATTGTGAGCCCAGAGCACCTTCCTAGGCATGACTGAAAGGCTGATTGGGACTAAAGGCTGACATCAGTAGGCTGTGGCCAGCCTGTTTCAAAAACCAAGATTTTAACAGTATGGACTGCAACAATTCATATTAGTTGGACCCAGGGACAGAGAACAGTCTTTTAATCCCTAGTATAAGGACTTGACTCTTTAATACTGTACTATGAAAGTTTGCCTAAGTTTGGAAATGTATTCAATAGGTTGTTTAAGATAAAGGTGTTTTTCTGTATCCACGAACATCAGAAAAAGAAACATAACTGAGACACAAGCATCAGCACCAGTGCGTCTATTCTGTAACAGCTACTTGAGTAAATTTTCAAGGCAGTCAAACCTTCAGCAAGCCCTGATAGACTACTGAATTCTGCTGCAAGAAGTCAACTACAGGAATCACTTATAGTGAGGCCCTACACTGAAGATGTCCAGCATTTTAACTCAAAAATATAGTTCTGAACTTTTCTTTGAGAAACTTGTACATCATCACTCTTCAGGCAGCAGAAGAAACGACTCTATACCATCTGAATGATTCTATGTTCCATAAAACCTACCTGATTTTAAGAGTCACAAATCACTATATATTTCTTCTCTCATTCTTTTAGAATGAGTACTTGTATTATAAAAAACAGTTAAAAATGTCAAGGGTTTGATTAAGTCTGTAGAATATAACTTCATGCTCTGTACTAGAAACAGAAAAGATATTCTATGGCTTCAGAAGTAGAAAATATACTTATAAGGGATTTATACTCACATGCCTACTTGTGAGTTAGATATCCATGTTCCCTTTGTAGGCAACATCAAAAATAGCTTGTATTAAAATATTTTTCGTTTCCTATAAAGGCAGCCAATACATTTTAATGGACCTCAAGCCTAATCTTATCTCTCTTTCAAAGCCTTAGTAAAAATTTCAAGTCATAACAATAAAGAATGTTATGAATAAAATACATTTATAACATAGACAAGTTTCTAGTTTAAATTTCACAGAAGGAATCAGTTCAGGGTTAGGATACTTTAATGCAGAATTAGTATTTTAATCTGCCACTTTAGCCTCAAATTTCAGAAAATGTTGCCTTACAATCCCAGTATTTTTATTATTCACCTTATCAATCATGATATAACAACAATTAAAGTAAGCTATAAGGTAATGTTTTAAAGTCTTAACAAAACTAACCCTTAGATCACGCTTCTTTCTTTCGTCTTCTCTACTTTTTGCCCTCTCAATAGCTTCTGCTAGTTGCCCTTCTCTGTCTCCATGGGAAGAACCCTCTTTAGATCTCTTTGATTTATGATTTTCTTCCTTTTCCTTTTCATAACCTTTATGACTTCTCTCTTTTGAAAGCCTCTCTTTTCCCAGCCTAACAGAATGTTCTTTTTTTTCTCTGTGTCTTCTTTCTCTCTCTTTATCCAACTCTTGTTGTTTAAGTAACTTGTGTGCACGGTCACTTTCTTCAACTGTGTAGGCTAAAATCTTGTCAATGCTCTTCTTGCTATCACTATTCTGGAGAGAGAAAAATAACAACAAAGAGTTAAAAAGTTCTCCAAGACTGTTTTATCTTCACAAATCTATCCATTTTTGACCATTAGAACATTGCATTTTTAAGTACCTAATCTCTTTCTGCCATGTGGATCTTCCAGCCATTCTTTTTTAATCTCCTACAATGGCAAGTTTCAAATTATCACATCATTTGAGATTCTCATATTTCTTCTGGCACATCAAGTACTTTGCCACAGAAAATTCTTTGGATTATGTATTCGTCAGTCAAAAATTTAATTCTTTGTTTACTAGGTCATCTAACATAAAGTAGTATGTATACCTACCACTATCCTTCTAATAAAGGCATAAACAGCAGATGGAAAATTTTTATCTAGCCGTACAAAAATAAAGCACTGTTTGCTATGCAAATTTTATTTTACTTTTACTTTTAAAAAAAGAACTATGTCCACAAAATAGAATGACTCAGATATATTTTGTTGGTGTGTGTTGTACACTTGAAATGACCTTATTATCTATGCATCTCTTGGATTTCTCGGGAGCTGGAATCTGATCCAGTTTCTTCATTATTCTACAATCCTATCTCATTCCATTATGAAACACTTCATTCCTTTCCCTTCCTTTACCTTCTTTTCTGTATGTCTTCTTTCTCGCTCTCCACTTCTTGTTTTCTCCTCCTCTAGAAAATAAACGTATAAAGTAATGAACAAATTTTATTATACTCAAACTCTGTACATAATTCACTCCAGCATGTAGAAAATAGTATTTCAGCGACAAAGGTTTTCTAACACATTTGAGCTTTCTAAAAATAATTTCATATTCTGTTGAAATTCTCCCTCCAAAACTGGTTACTCCTTTTTCTTTTCTAATCTTTCATGTTCTCAATATTGTGTAATAATAAGGGTAGTGGCATGCTACTAACTTCAGCAACTGCCCTGCAACTTGCAGGTTCAAATGGATCACTCAGTAGAGAATGTCTAGGCAGGAGGGTACTTACTCTCTTCAAGTGAACTGACCAACAAAACCAATGACATTCATCCTTTCTTTAGAGGAAGGGAAACAAGCATCAGAATTTTAAAAGCACCAAATTAAAACTAGGTTACCACAAGATTTCATAAAGATATACACTTCAGTAGGTACTCACATCTACCTGCCTGTCTTTATCCTCCCTGTATAGATGAGGTATAGTTTCAGAGTATTTCTGTCTAAATATCAAATATTTCAAAGTACAACAGAAACCCAAAACAACTTACCCAAATGATGCCTGCTTTCTCTCCTTCTGTGATGTTCTTTCTCCCTTCCTTCAAATGATTTCAGATTATTTTGCGTATCTGTTTGCTTTATCTCATGTCTTTTATGCTTTTTGTCTCGTTCTCTATTGCTCTCCCTGTCTTTATCCTTTGGTACACTGTATCTTTCCTTTTCCAAACTTGACTCTTGAAGCTTATCTTTGTATCTCTCTCGGCCTCCTTCTCTCTGGTGCTCTTTTCCCCTTTCTCTCTCTCTCATTTTATCCCTGTCTCTTTCACCAGATTTAAATCTCTCTCTCTCTCTTGTTCTCTCCTTACTCTTCCCTCTGTCTTTGTGTTCATGTTTATGTGTGTCTGTGTCATGAACAGACTTCTCTTTCTGCAGTTTATTTTCTCTCAGCTTTTGGTCTTCATTTTGATTCTCCGGTTGTGATGCCTGAAAAAAAATATTTCAAAAAAATCTCTTATTCTAATTCAGTAATCTATTTTGATACAGTCTATTCATGTGAAAAAAAATAGTGGACTGCTATGAATTCAATTTCCCAAACTGTATTAAAATACTGATATATTTCTAGGTTTCTTACTTTGTAAAATTACTAACATTATGTCTGTACTTACTGTAAAAAGAACATAACAAATGAAATAAATAATTAGCTGCATTTTCAATGTATTTGAAAAGAATTTGGTAAATCAGAAAATTTACAGTGGAACAGTGCATTCTGTTTAGAGCTAGTTTGAAAAATTAACTAAGCATTTTAAAGCTGTTAGCTCATGCAGACAGAAACTGCCCAAAATGTGTTACAGATATAAACAACAGTGATATTTAACTGGGCATCTTGCAGCTGCGTTTAAAATAGATTAGCGTTTACTTGAACAGAAAGCAACATATAAAATCTGTGAAATAAATTTTTTGGCCTAGATCCCTTGAGGATGCAACTATTCTTATATTTTTCTAAAGACATAAGAGACTATATTTCAACCTTGTGCAAGTAGCACAACTCCCACTGATTTCACTACATCCACGATTTCAGCTGTTTACTCAGTGCAGAACAAACAGAGCTTGCTTTGATTACAGTCAATGAGTAAAGTGAATTAAACTTTATCCATCTGTTTCACAGAAATTAAAGTTCAATCACACCACTTCTTTTGGAACTAAAGCATTCCAACTCAAATTTGTTTGCTTTAGCCCACATGGAAGTAGTGGAAATGTTACTGAACGTGTGAAAAATACCAAGCACTTATACTGTAGCACTGAAACTGAAATGCTGGGGAGCTTTGAAATGTAATTGATAGAAAGAAAGGTAATAGCTTTAGTTTATCAAAGGACTAATGAAGATCTGCACACAACATAGAACAGAAGATCCATATTGGAAAACAGCTTTTAAAAAAATGGTTTTTTTACATATAAAATATGGATCTGGTGCCCAGCAAATCAGATGCAATTGCGTGCTGTGTAATTACCATAAAAATGGTATTTTTTCCATTTACCTTATTAAGAAATCTGTAGATTAATCTTCTATGACTTGTGTAGCTAGAAACAGTTAAGTGGGCCAGTCTCTGGGCACACTTGGGCCAGACAGACTCCAGAATGGCCAGTTATGGCAAGAAAGTTAGCAGTTACACATTAAAGATCCATACTGTTTGTGTTCAACGATGCAGATTTACAGTGTCTAATGTACCAAAAAGACTTAAAGAGCTATTACAGATCCCACAAAGGAGGGTGACTAGTATAACAGGCAGTCAACCCTCTTTGCTTAGACCAACGACAAATTTCACTGCTGTAAGGTAACTTGATATCAAAACTAATAGCAAGAAAATAAAATCACCCTAAGATGTTTCCTAAGTTCTTCTGATTTCCAAGTATCTTCTTTGGTTTTTCTCTAGAACAGAAAAGAGCAAAAGACTGAGTAATCAATTTCCAAAGAGAAGTAAATCACTTAATAGTTTTTCAAAGGAAAGGATCAAAGTGTGTATATGGCAAGTACCACTGCATTTTGTAAGGTAAACATTAATTTGATTTAGGCCTAGTGTGTATACTTACAGCGTACCTGATCTGACTAGACCTTGTAAAGGCCTGAAGCTCAAAATTCTACTGGGTTATGCAGCTCTGTACACACATGGTAAAACAATTTCGAGGTCAGTGCCTATAGTAGACAAGTGCAGCCCTTCAAGGAAGACTTAAAATTGGTCTTCCAATGATAGACCAAATGGGTACACAGACTCAAGCCACTCCTGGAAAGTAATCAATGCATCAATGTCATTAGGTTCAGCCTCCTGCTCTATTAGATCTAACTTCACAGTCCTGATCAGGGCCTTATTTAGGTGAGGTTTTAATATCTCTGAGGTTGGAGTTTTTCCGGGCAACCTGGTTCTTGGGTTTGACCACTCTCAATTAAAAATGTTTTCCTTATACCAAGTCATAATTTGTCACCACCATCTTCTGTCCTCTCACTGTACATCTCACAGAACTTGGCTCCATCTGTTTCACAAACCCTCTTTAGATTCTCGAAGGGAACAGTTAGATCCCCTCTTAATTTTCTTTTCTCTAGCCTGAACAGCTCCTTAGCCTCTTCCCCACGTACACCAGGGTTCCAGCACCACAGCCACCTCAGTGCCTCACTCCAGAATCTCTTTAGTACCAGGGCCTTAAAACCAGACACCGGTCTGCAGACAGGGCCTCAAGAGTGCTGAGCAGAGGACATTCTTCCATTACCAGGATGTGGTTAACCACAACCACCTGAGGAGCACCCTGACTTGCATTCAGGTTTCTGTTCCCAGATCCCTTTTCTGCAGAACCACTCACAGAAGCCATTCACACGGCAAACAGTAAATACAGTATTTTCCCCTTAGACCTATCATTTGAGCTGCCCCAAACTCAGCTGCAAGAACATTTCAAGGGATAAATAACATGGGCAAGCAGTGAATCTAAAAATACTATGACACATGTAAACCTTTTTTTTAATCAGCAGAGATCTGACATGGCCACAATATGTTTTTCTTAAGAGTTTTAAAAATCAAAATATAAGCATAATTAGATTACTGTGCATTTCAAGTGAACCAAGGAAGCTTTTGGTTTAGTAACTGCACGCATCTCAAAAAACACTGACACAACTTTTCAATCAACTGTCACAGCATGTTAAAATGGTTCAGACTGCACGTGTAAGTTGACTGCCAGATGAAATATTTGTGTCTAGCACTGAAGAAAAAAGTAAAAAGATAATGAAAATAATTAAAATATACATGGGCATTCTCCCTAGTTAAACAGGTCAATATTTCTTCTACCCTCATCTGCAAAGTTACTGCCCCTGTTTGGCTACTGCTAAATAAACTAAAAAAATCACATTGAGATCACTAAAGCAAATGAGGAGTTTTGATTTATTGAATATTTTTAACTAGTTCATTGAAGGATGATCACTTTATTTAAAGAGACGTGACCAGGCTACACTTATCCTCAAATTTAGATTTGGTAAAAGGGGATGCTCAGGGCCAGCAGAAGAAGCACTGGGGCTGTTTCTTGCCTGGTGCCCTGGCTTATTCAACGCCAAGGGACACGAGTGGCGGGGACGGGACGGGTGGGGTGAG